CGAGCTCTAGTGGTGGAGGCGGGAACGACGGATACGGTGGTGATCGCATGGATGAGGATGCACACTTTGGGGGCTATCAGGGCTATGGAGGATTCTATGATGGCGGAGATGCGGGCGGGCACTAGGGACTGTGCCATGGACTAGCGGTGGGGGAGATCTGTCCGGTATGCTCACATTCATATTCTTGATTCTTGCTTTTATTTAAAAAAAAAAAAAAAAAAAAAAACAAATTAAAACTGCTTGTTAAGTTGAAAACCCACAAAGGGCAGCTTAAGCAAAAATAAAGCAAAAATAAGAGTGAGTCTGTGAGATTTATTGAAGAAAAATGTGGGAAGCTGGGTTGAAAACCCGAAAGGGCACCTAGACAAAATGAGAGAATGAGAGAAAGTATTTCTTTTGATTTTGCAGGATCCTAAGGGTGATTACTAAAGAAAGTTCATTGCATGAGGAAAAAGAAATTGAAGACCCCTTGATGTATTCTTTTTATATTGGGGATACTTTGTGATTATCTTGTTTCTAAAAACACTTTGTGATGGTTGATGATCTTATCATTTGAGGATTTTCTTGGATTGCATTTACTCGAGACGAGTAAAGATTCAAGTGTGGGGGTATTTGATATGCACTAGTTTGTAGTGCATAAATGTATGTTTTTATATTTATTCTGTGTGGATTGTTGACTGTTTTTAGTTAGTTTGTAAGCATTTGTTTTGTCATGTTTGTAAATGTTTTTTTAGCTTCCATTTATAGTTGTAAAATAGTGTTGGAGCTTTTTGGCAAGGAAAAAGGAGAAAAGTCAACAGGAATGCTGCCCAGGGAGATCCACCCGACCGGGTAGAAATCATCACCCGGTCGGGTCTGATTTGAAATCAGAACTTCACAAGAAAGAACTAGACCCGGTCGGGTCAAGCAATTCACCCGGTCGGGTCAGATGTGACCCGGGACATTTTAACGTGCTAAAACACAAGAACGTGGAAGATTATCTGATTTAGACATCCACCCGGTCGGGTGGGCACTTGACCCGGTCGGGTACCCGGCCAAAAGTGTTGAAAAACACCTATAAATAGCCCCATTTTCCTTCACAAATAATCATCCCTTCTTCCATACTCTTAAGCTCAGTTTAGAATAGTATTTCTTTTATATTTTTATAGCATGTTTAGTCTCCAAATGAGGAGCTAAACTTCCATTTCTTGGTGTTGCTCTTGAAGCTTGTTGATTATTAAAGTTGTGAGTTATTTTCTTAACTTCTTCCCTTGAATATTAATTATTCTCTTAATCTATCTATATATTAATGTTGGGGAGTGTTGCTAAGATGACAATTAGTTAACATCTCGACATTAGTTATAGTAGTATTTATTTTCTTCCTCTATATATTAATGTTGGGGAGTGTTACTAAGATGACAATTAGATAACATCTTGACATTAGTTATAGTAGGATTATTCATATTTAATCTTCTTCCTTGAATATTAATTCTTCCCTTAATCTATCTCTATGTTAATGTTGGGGAGTGTTGCTAAGATGACAATTAGTTAACATCTCAACATTAATTACTACTAGAAACGTTCAACGAACCGATGGTTAATCGTTGATGGTTTCACAAGTAAGTAACTTCGGTTTATTAATGCACGGTCGTGGTTAATAAACTTAAGAGGGATTAATTTTGTTGGTTAAACCGAAACCGTTGTGTTGAGGTTATCAATCTCAATTGATTTCATCAAGGAATTAAGAGATTAAATGCTACTATCAAGTCGGTATATGGCGGTGTTCTATACTTGACTAATAGTAAGTGTTATTAATGAACGGTCGTTGTTAATAACTACCCTCGATGAATTGGATATACTCCTCGATTGAGTATTCGAGAGGGGATAAGTTATAGATATAACAATGATCGACTAAAATATATCAACAAGTGGAAAGTAGCAATGCCAAGTCCTTTTTATCTTTGAATTAAATCTCATATAAGTCCTTCATCTTAGTATTTAATTAATTAAATTCCAACAATACCAAACCCCCCTTTTATTTACTAGTTCATAAAAAGAGAATTATTCCTTTCCCTGTGGATACGAACTCTACTTCACTATACTACGTATTAGTGGTAGTATTGAATTTATTTTGAGTGCACACACGACAAAGTGCACGTCAATTATTACATGAGCATCGTGAGTTTTCATGCTCGTCGTCGTGGTAAGTTTGTTCATGTCTACGCATCTAGACAAGTTGGAGCAGTAGCCATCTGGAAACTTCTGAGACGCAAGCCATTTTAATATTGCTGCCTTTTGTGGTTCTGTGACCTGGTAGACTGCTTTTGGAACTTCCTTGCCCTGATATTCTAGATCAACAGAAAGTTCGGGTCTATCACACCAAATAGTCATATCTTTCCTAGCTGCAAGACCGTCTTTAGTTTTGCCTTTCAAATCCATCACCGTGTTAAATATATTGTCAAAGACGTTCTTCTCGGTGTGCATGACATCTAAATTGTGACGGATGAGAAGGTCTTTCCAATAAGGCAACTCCCAGAATATGCTCCTCTTTGTCCACTTATGGGTATCACAATACCCATATGGCTCTTGGTTTGGCTCTTCCATAGCCGTAGGAAAACGTCGAACCCGGTTATAAATTTCTTCACCGGTCAATCTCGGGGGTGGGCTCTCTTGTACCGCTCTGCCTCTAATGAAAGACTTCTTGTCCTTTCGATATCGGTGCCTTTCCGGGAGAAACTTGCGGTGACAATCAAAGTAACTTCCTTTTTTGCTGTAACTGAGCCAGTTGGCACCTGATTTCTCCATGCATATCGGACACCTCCATCAGACCGTGTGTGCTCCATCCCGAAAGCATGCCATGGGCAGGGAAGTCGCTAAGGGTCCAAATGATGGCAGCTTTCATGATAAACATTTTATCTGATGAAACATCATAAGTTGGTGTCCCAACGGCCCACAATTCTTTCATCTCCTCAATAAGGGGTTGAAGATAAATGTCTATCTTTCGCCCAGGATCCTTGGAACCCGGACAAATTAAAGACAAAAAGATGAAATGACTTTTCATGCACATGTCGGGAGGGAGATTGTAAGGTGTTAACATGACCGGCCAACATGAATAGTTCTTGCCAAACCTGCCAAAAGGAGCAAATCCATCTGAGCACAATCCCAGCCGCACATTTCGTGGCTCCATAGCAAACTGAGGATGACAGCGGTCAAAGTGTCTCCAGGCTTCACAGTCCGAAGGGTGAGCCATCATACCCTCGTTGGTTTCGTGCTCAACATGCCATGTCATGTGTTTCGCAGTAGCAGTCGAAGCGTACATCCTTTGCAGTCGAGGAGCTATTGGGAGGTAATACAGTTTAGACAGTGCAGACCTATGTCGTGGTTTCTTTTTACCTTGACGAACAGGTTTGTATCTGTCTCCACCACAGAACTTGCAGAACTCAAGTGCCTCATCCTCCTTCCAGAACAACATACATCCTTCCGGGCACGCATCAATTTCAACACAAGGTAGCCCCAACTTAGAAATTAACTGCTTCATGTGGTAATATGAATCGGGAAGGGTATGATCTCGCGGTAGCATCCCTCCTACTGACTGCAAGACTCTATTCATGCAAGTTTCAGGGAGACTGTATTCGGCTTTTATGTTCATGAACTCAGTAACAGCGGATAGCTGAGAGTATCCCTCACAATCAGCATACAGAGGTTGGTCGACAGCTTTTAGAACATCCTGAAATCTCTCAGCCAAACCTTCATCCACATAAGGTTGATAAAATGTCGGATTTTCATCCGCATCTGGTTGATATGAGGTTGAGGCTTCAGGGGGGTCGTTAGGTGGTTGTGGGGGGTTGAACTGAGATGGTACACCGTATGCGTCATATACCATTTGTTGGTCCCACCTCATTTCAGCACGGTCTCCCCACGCACTCATCTCTGGAGGGACGTAACGAGACGAACTTACCGTTTGTGGTATAACAGATGGATCCAAAGGTTCGCCGTGAGAAGTCCAATTATAATAATTGGGAACAAAACCGACCGCGTACAAATCATACCCAACTTCGTGTGGGTCTTTAAATTTGAGATTTTTACACTTTGAACATGGACATCTTATTTTATCACCACTCATATAAGCCGGATGTTCAAGTGCAAATTCAATAAATTCCCCGACTCCCTCGAGAATATTTGATTGCATTCCGTACAATACCGCATCTTTATAATACATCCAACTTCTATTTTGTTTATACATTATGCCTGAATATTATAATAAAAAATTATATGAAATGCAATGCACACAATTTTAAGTAATTTATTTCACTAAATATAATCAACTAATTTTCACTTTTTTTAAATGAAATGCACAGAATTCACAACAATAATGCACAAAATATATGTCCCCTAATGCACAATAATGCAGATAATTTCACTAAATTAAACATACGTTTAATTAAATCTAACTAATTCATTTAGTTAAATTTAACTAAATTTAACTAGTTCATTCCGTCCCCTTTTAATGCATCACTACGTTTAAACCTACGTTTAGCAAACGAATTTTAATTAAATTATTTTTGTAAACCTACGTTTAAACCTACACTAAATTATTACGTTAATGACATTTAATCTTATTAGTAATACACAATTAACAATTCACTAAATTAAATAATATGACCAAATTCAACCCAATAATTTGAACATGTATATAAAGTTATTTGAATTAATAAGCAATACACAATTCACAATAACAATTCACAATTCACTTAATTAACACATTACTAACGTACGTTATTTGAACTAATTTCACTAAACATAAACATCATTACGTTTTAAACCACATTTAGCTAACTAATTTTAATTAAATTATTTTAATTTATAAACCTAAAAGTTTAACTAATTCTAATTTATGACATTACTACGCTTATAGTTAAAACATGTTGTTAATTAATTAACAACCTCACTAATTTAATAGTTTTAATAATTTAAATTGAACCAACTAATTCTAAATAAAAATTATAATTCAAATAACATACCTTATCTGCATAAACAGGGAAAATGATAGAAGATAGACTACATCCTTCGATCTTTCAAACGGATACTGTATATACTGGGAATGAATTGGTGTGGTTCTGTTCAATGAGCTGCTCCTGCATATATAAAAAATTTAGTCACGGACTTAGTCACGGATTTGTCCGTCACTAAGCAAAACCGTGTCCAATACGCGTCCAACACGTGTTAATGACGTGTAAATGACGTGTTAATCAAAGTAGTCACGGAACTAGTCACGGATATGGCCGTGACTAAAATTATCCGTACATAATGCCGTTGCGAATTAAGTTAAGGGAGTTGAAAAAATTAAATTTTAATTATAGTCACGGGTATAGTCACGGATTTGGCCGTGACTAAGTCGTCGGAATCAAATAAACTACGCCGGAAACGGAAACGGGCCTATCGGAGGACTTAAGTCACGGGCCAAGACCGTGACTAATTGTAGTCACGGCCATAGTCACGGTCTGCACCGTGACTATTTTTTTTTAAAAATTTCCGTGACTAGTCCGTAACTAGACCGTGACTAAACTAGTCACGGACCAAATCCGTGACTAAAATCCGTGACTATAACGCTGTTTTTTGTAGTGATTCCTCCTCGATTGGGCTCACCTACAAGTCTACAACCATATTTTGTAGAGGTAATCTTCATTTATTCCTTTCCAATTGATTTTAAGGAGTAATTGTAAACTTTAATTCGCAGAAGCTATATATAGAGTGTTTGGGTCCAATAATAGTGTGTTTTTTTTTTGAAAAAGTGGAAATCAATCAATCAAGAACTAGCTATGATAAAACCTAGATTATTTTTGACTTTGTGGAGTTAATTATTTAGCAAATGAATAGTATCGAAGAACCGTTCCAATCCGTACCGAACCGTACTGAATATTGGTACATAACGGGACATGTTCTATACATATTCGGAACGGTACTGACTCTTTGATTTTCAAAGAACCATACTTTAGGACGGGACATGTTTTTTTAAATAACCATCTCGTACCATCTCATGCTCACCCCTAGTCAAACCAATAAATAGTTATAACTACAATATAATCTCACTAGTCATGTTTAAAGTTTAAATTAACGACCTGAAAGTCTCGATGGACATTAAAATAACCCTAAAATGATAAGGAGTATATATAAACTTATTTCCCAAATGAATGTACTTCACAAGAATACTTTTAAAACTATTAAGTGTTCAAGGATATTTTTTTAAAAGAAATTAAAACTGGGAACGTCACAAGGGATTGAACCTCGATCAGCGACTAAGAATTCCTTTTAATTTGTAGCAATAGCCATTAAACTGGTGCCTTTAGATGGCATCTAGTCTCTTTATAACTTATTAGACTCCAATGTTAATTGCAAGCATAAACTAAATTTAACATATTTCTATATTATACACCATAGTCATCAACAATCAAAATATAAAGGATTAATCACAATTTATTGGTTTAAAACTTTTATCATAACCTAGTGGGCATAAAGGTTTATCCCTAGCCTTAGCTAAGAAACCAGCCTCTAATGATCATATTAATCACAATAAAATATTGAAATGTAATGGAATATGAAATTACAAAGGAAATAATACCTAAACACCAATGATTTCGGAGGATGAACTTCCTTCCTCAAGAACTTGAAGAAAAATAGCAAGAACAAAATATAAAAGCTAGGAATTAATCTATGGAATGAAATTATTATGTTTGATGAATTGAGGGCTTTATATAGGCTAAAGAATGACATCGTTTAGTCTATTCGAGCCCAACAATCAGGTATGGAGCAATATTTGATTAAACAATGAGGAAATGAAGTTTTCCCATAAAAATCCTCTTGCATGCATGTCGTTGTGTTTAAGCAGAATCGGCCCAACTGGCGCTAGTTGGTCAGATGACCGGCCCCAGATAAAAACAGGATAAAATATGTGAAAAAAACCTTTCGACCGGCGCCAGTTCTAGACTGAACGGCGCCGGTTGCTGCGCCCAAAAAAACGATTCATTTCTCTTCCTCCGAAATGGATCCAGAAGTGTTGGTTTTTGCCTCGGGATTTTGGGGATGTTCCGCTACGAATTTGGACATGATTCCTTCACCAAAGTTGTAGATAAAGAAGTCTTATATCCACCAAAACTTGAATGACATGATTTTATTCATCCAACCAAAAGATATGGATAAAACATTGAGAGGTATGCATCCTGAAATTCCTTCAACAACATATGAGTTTATTGGTTGATTGAGTCTCGATCCTTTCATATTCTGGCCATGGTGTCTGCACAACATTTGTAGATTATTGAGTTTTTAATAACATGAATTTCGAATCGAGTCATTTGGAATTCCCTACAATACGTTATACTCAAATTATGGGCAGAACGTCATCCTCTTGGTCCCAAAAGCCGTTCATCACAACGTTTTATGCTTTAGCTCTCATTTTGAAAGTATTTGTCCGATTTCTCTTTGTTCAACAAAATACTTATAAATACTTATGTTAAGCATTGCTTGTACTCAAGCAATTTCTTTGTATTGAGGTACAATTAGAGAAGAAACAAAACCATGCAAATTAAGAGTTTAATAAGATGATAAAAATTCAATATAAACACTCTAATCTCTCTCCGGCCAAAAACCTTTTTCTATTACTCACGATAAATGAATTTAAGATTAAGAATAATATTTAAACACTGTGATAATTTTGTGATAATTTAGGCAATGTGTGGGTACGTCGGTGTTATTTTTTTTTTTTTGCGGATCGACAACTTGATTTTGTAGAGAAGGCTATTCTAGGAGAATATGAGTTTGTGTTTTTTATTTTTTATTTTTGCTTTTGTATATAAACTCATTTTTTTGTTCTCCGTAATTAAATATCTGGATTGTCATAAATGAGGAGAATCCAACAATACAGTGTGATTTGAAATTGGGATGAAACCATGAATTTGCACTCTATGCACATTTGTATGGATTTGAAAAATTGTAACAAATTTGAGTGAAAGAGGTGGTTTCCAGATTAAGAAATATTTTAATTAATCTAACATGACATTATATTGTGAGTAAAATAATTGAAAATCTTTCTCAACCAAAACCCTTATGGATACAGAAGATGTACAACTCTTCTTTGACGTGGGATGAACCTCACATCCGATGGTCACCAGAAGCCGCTCAAAAAGACCCCAAAATGAAACAGATCACTTCCTTTATCCAGTTGACGAGAGGTTTGACTCCCCACAGAAACTAGGAGTAGCTCTCAAGCGGTTTAAATTAGCTAAGCTGGATGCAAAAATTTACCAAGCCTATCTGCAACGAGCAATCAAGTTCCACAATAAATATAACAGATCTATATCTGCTTCACTTGGAATTCCCTCAAAAAAAATTAATTGCTGATATAATTTAAATTCCCCGTTTTGCTTTACCATTGTACTCTCAAACTTTATTCTAATAAATTTGGGAGGTGTTCTCCGCCACCCCTAACCTTGTGTGGTTGAACCGGGAAAAAAAATAAAAACCTTAAAAGAGAGAGTATCAAAAATTTTATCCTTCCTAGAAAAATTTTATTTGCAAAGAAAATTTTTTCAACTAATTATTCACCCCCACACTTCATTTACATTGTCCTCAATGTAGATTGGAGAATGTAATGCAAGATGAGATCTTCAATAGTGGAATGAGATGTCTTTGAGGGAAGGAAATGCATGATACCTAAGCTGAGATCGATGAATGATAAGACGAATCGTCCCTCCTTCCCGGGACGAGTGTTTCTAGTAGGGCCTCCTTCATGGCTGTCGTGGCTGCTCAACTTGCCGAGACACATACTCCCTTCGGGAATCGTCTGTGTCGGTACGTCTGTGCTAGTATGTCTCATGGGGAGCCTGCCCGCTACCCGGTCGATGGGAGTGATGAGACGAATCGTCCCCTCTTTCAATTCCTGGGATGAGTGTTGCCGGGAGGGCCTCCTTCCTGACTTTCATGGCTGCTCAACTTGCCATGACACATACTCCCTTCGAGATCCGTCGGTGTGCAGGTACTTCTGTGCCAATACGTCTCCTGGGGAGCCAGCCTGCCTACCTGGGTATAACGAGTATTATACCAATATCAAATGAGCTTACATAATTTATGAAATGAGCATTGAAAAAAACAAAAAAAAAACTCATTTAAATGTCTACTATTCTCAAAATTTCTTTTGCGTAAGTTCATACCTGTAAAACAATGTGTAACTTAGATTTCTCCTAATCTAGAGCAAACAAGTGACCAAACTCACCAAAAAGAGAAAAAAGAAAATAGTGCAAAAAAGGACGAATCCAACTAGTGCTATACATATGCCAGAGCCGCCGTCTACCCAAGCGGGGGAGTCCGAAATCTAAGGTGTTGCGTTCAGTTAGGAATCTGGCGAGTCATTTTGTGAATGACGACGAGCGACGAGCATTAGGTGAACAACGAAGTGCGAACAAGGATCTGCAATGGAAGCTAGAGATCGATTTGCGAACTTAAATCCCGACTATACTTTGCGCACGGTACAACCGACGTTATGATATAATTTGCATGTTCCACCTTCCCATCATATCATGGTGTATCGATCGCTTCCTATATGTAGGCAATTCAAATACTCCTCCGCTCCCCTATATTTGTCCCATTTTTCCATTTTGGAGTATACTTTATATTCACTTTATCAACTCATTAACAACCACATAATTTTACTTTTCTTAAAAACCACACAAGTCTCTTCCGTCCCAATAATAGAGGGTGGGAGCTAGGTAGTATATAATGACAATAATATCTTTCATTCCTTATTAGTAAAAAAATTTAAAAAAATCATATTTTGAAAATTTAGAATGAGAAGAATTTAATAATATTTTTAAAAAAATTAATTTATAATACATAAATTAATAAAATATAATCAAAATATAATATGTAAATAGTGCAAAAAAATCCAATGTTACAATTAAAAGAGAACTAGTATACATACATCGTATATCATTATTCCATTCTTAGAAACGGGAGGAACACAATACGGAAGGGACAAGTCTGTAATAAGCAGCAGCTAGCAAGCTGTGCTTTTTAATTTTGAGTTATCTAAGATCGGTAATACGAAGTATATAAAGATCGATCAGATAGATTCTTATTATACAGTATATATATATGGACGTGCTTAATTAATTAGGGGAATTATATCATAATGAGGCGATCGATCGATCATTATATGGTTTCAATCATCAATACTCTTCAGTTCCCAGTGGTCGCTCTGCTTTTCCCTGAACAACCCATCTGGACGGCGGCTCATCTGATGACGACTAATACCATCCAGAATCTTACCTCCAAAGCCACCGCCGCCGCCGCCGCCGCCGCCCAGAAACTTATAACCCTCTGCAGCTAGAGCGGGATTCAGCTGCTTATTCTTCATCCCTTTCTGCCCATAGTAGGATTCAACTGAGCTGATCACGTGCTGTTTACCGCCGCCAAAGCCGTGTTTGTCGCCGCCGCCAAACACGTGTTTGTCGCCGCCAAACCCGTGATCGTCGTGTAAGTTGTGATGTTTGCCGCCGCCGAAACCGTGAACGTCATCATCATCGTAACAATGTTCTTTGCCGCCACCGTAAGTTTTGGAGAACTCATGGTGCATCTTGTTTTCGTAGTGGTGGTCATAGTGGCCGTCGTCGCCGACGCCGTGGTGCGGGATAGGGCGCGGGTAGCTATGTCCCGGGGCCGCCGCAACGTGGTACTGCGGCGGCTGGGCGGCGGACATAAAGTAGTGGGAGTTGAAATTAGGGTTAGGGTTGGGCCTCATCATCTGCATGCTGGAGGAGCCATACCCATCATTGTAGGAATAGTAGTCTTCCTCTTCATGAGAGTAGTTGGCTTGGTTCTTGTACCCATGGCCAGCTTGATGAGGGAACATCATCTCACTTTGGAGAACCATTTTTTGTGGGAAGTTTTGTTTTCTTTCTGTCTAGGGTTTTTGCTAGCTTGATGAGAACATAGAGAGTGATTTTGGTGAATTTATAAGCCCTGTAATTGGATTCCTAGAAGATGAGGATGCTCTTAAATTATTCCTCCACAAATCGATGCCTCATTTAATGGTCATAATACACACACCTAATTAACCTCCACAAATACATATTCGCTTTGTTTCTTTTCTTTTTTTAGGAAATAAGATATGATTCGCAATTACTTATTTTCAAAAAAAGAAAAGATTCGCACTTACTTATGATAAACCATAAATATGTCTATCTTGAAAGACTACAATATAAACTTATCTTTAAATTATCTAGCTAGCTAGTTATCTTTAAATTATGCGGCTAAACTAGAAAGACTTGAGCAACATTTAAAAAAAGTTTTAAAAAAAAACTTTTTTTTTTGTAAAAAAAAACTTAAATGCTTTATCCTATCTAATTCAAATGCCTGGCTGTAAAACAAAAAAGTGCAATAACATTGACAGAAGCTGAGGAAGTAGTATACATAGCTAATAAAAGATCCACTAATTAATGGGGTTTTGACATGAATATTGGTAAAAAGGAGTTAATAGACAAAAAAGTGTCCTTTTCTTTTAATTTCCAAACATCTGACTAATAAACCTCTATATTGTCTAAACTACCCTTCATAGTTAATTTCCTGTCAGTTAATTTCCGTCAAATTGCAAACCGTGAAACTGCAAGTGCGTAGTAAGTTGCGTTGCACAGCGGACCAATTCATGCATTCATTGCTTAATACTCCGTAACATTGCAATCATTTTGTATTTGCAAGAACGTACATTGCATTGCAATCTCTAATAATTAATGTTTTTTTAATTTAATGTTTTTCCTCAAGCTACATAGTTGAATACTACTTTCATTCTTAAATAAATGCAACATGTTAAATTTTACACTATTCACATGTTGTACTTTGAATACATTTTATTAATTAATGTATTAATATTTTTTTATGAAAAAATATTGTTACTTTTGTCTCATTGTAAATTTTCAAAATCTAATTTTTTTAATTCTTTTACTAATACATAATTATATATATTAATGGTCAAAGTCGTGTCTTGGCAAATGTGAAATGTTGACTGTTGCATTTATTTAAGAACGGAGGAAGTATTTAATTATTACATAAAAATTAGCTTCATCAATTGTTCCAGTTACAATCGCTCCAATGACTGATTTCCAGTTACTACCGCTCTAGTGACTACCGTCTCAGTTACTACCGCTCCAGTGATCATCATCTCAGTTACTAGCGCTCCAGTGACCATCATCTCAGTTACTACCTGTCCAGTGACCACCGTCCCAGTTACCACTGCTCCAGTGACCACCATTTCGGTTATTGTCGTTCCAGTGACTAGTATTCCCGTCACTACCGCTCCAGTTATAGTTACCTGATCTGACAAGTTACTAGACCAATTATATTTACATGACCCTAACAATTACACGTTGCGTTATAGTTACTTGACTCGATCAATTACAGTCACCCGACTAATTTCAGTTACCAGACCCGCCAGTTACCTGATCAGTTACAGTTACCTAACCATGTCCAGTCATTACGGCAGGCGATCACCACCGACAACCACCGACAACCACCACGTCCGGCACCGCCGGCAACCACCACTGCCATGTCCAGTAAATGCCGCCCCATCTGCTCCCCAGCCCCCTCCCCAACTCTCCAGCCCCCCATTCGGCCACAGCCGGTGACCAGCACCACCCCATCCCCTCCCCTCCCGGCCTCCGCTGGCCACCCCTGCAATCATCTCCTTTCCCCTTCTCCTTGACCAGTACTCTGCACCCCTCCCCTGCACCTCCCTCCCAACTTCTTAGCCCCCTCTTATCCTCAGATCCCTCCCCTCTCAGCCTCCCAGACCCCATCGCCTATCGTCGCCGCCTTCCAGACCCTAGCCGCCAGCTTCAATCCAATACCACAACCTTTCACTTTCACCGTGGAGAATAAGGAAGGAGAAGAACTGAAGAAGAGTGAAGGAAGGAGACGCAAGCAGCCGGAATCATGGTTTACGAAGGCATTAGTCGTGGTTGTCGGCCAGGATTCATTGTTGGTTGTTGGGGGAGGGATGATGAACCGGAGGTTCTGGAGCCGTAAGATGAGCAGGTTTGCAGATCCCAGAGAGAGACGGAAGGAGACGTATGAAGGGGAATTGCGATCTTCAGATAGGGGAGATGGGGTGAAGGGCTGGGGTAATTGGGGTAATTTTTCGGTCATTCTTTTCTAATTAATAGTTCCCCGTAGATATAAGCGAAGCGAATATTGTGAAAATATATACAGTAATCTTTGATATCGATGTTTTACTTGTGTTTTTCCTATTCAATTTTGTGGTCCAATATTATTACTTTAGCTTAGGATATATTCTGACCTAGGGTTGGACTGGGCCGGTTTGGCCCGACCCGAGACCCGGCCCGGGCCCGGGCCGGCCCGTTACTGTGCAGTACCGACCCGGTCGGCAGGGACCGGGATCGGGACTGAAGCCCGAACCGGAGCATTTTTCTGGCGGGCTACGGGATGCTGATTTGGTGGACCGGACCGGACCGGCAGTTCCGGGACCGCTCTCGGCCCTTTTTCGGCAGGGTTTGGTTGCTAGGCGGATGGGGCTGGGTAGTTTGAGGGGGTTTTGGGGGTGGGGGGTAGGAATAAATCAGATCGAAAAACCAATTTTTTTTTATTAAAAATAAAACTAGACCCGGCTTGGGCCCGGCTTGGGCCCGGCTTGGTCCTAGTACCAACCCGGGCCGGCATCGGGCCTTCGTTCATCCCAAAACCCAATCCTGCCCCAATCCCGGCTCGGGCCCGACCCGAGCCACTTACATCCCTATCATGGCCTATTACTCTTTAGGAGCCCAATGCATTGCCCCCATATGATGCCTAATCAATGTGACACATCTCTGCCCACCAGGCCATTTTTGGCCAATTCGGTCCATTTCGGCCCGGCCAATAGAGTTGTTTTGCCCCCCCCCCCCCCCCCCCCACCCTCTAACTTTTCCTATTTATGGGGGCTTTCCCTCATTTAAGGATGCTTAATTTCTTCTCCTTCCTCACTCAACTTAGCTTCTCTCTTAAATGGCTTGTAAACTCCATTAATGAAAGCTTCTGTATAATGTAAATGCGAGGAGAGACTAATAAAACGAGTGATTTGGACATTAGCCTGAAAAGTTCTGTGATTTTTACCTTTTTGAGTTTTCACGTTAAATCAGGTGTTCATACACTTTCTATACATTTATTTACTATTTCGTGTTGGATTAGTTTCAACATATTTATTTTATTTGAATGAAAATAGGCATAATTGTATTTAAAATTAACGTACACACACATTTAGCCACTGGGCATACAACAAAATAAGGAATAGTGTCATAACAAATTATGTGATCTGAGAGGAACATGTTTGTCTTTGCTATCGTATGTGGGCTTTAAGATTCACATATAACATATTGCTTACAAAGATAAGAAGTATATACTACCTATTGTATAGAGTACTAAAATGAGATTTACAATTTTAGTCCTGTAACTTTCGACTGTTATCGTTACTAGTTTTGTAACTATAATCATTTACAAATTTGGTCCTATAATTAATAAATTTTTACAATTTAGAGTGTATGGTTGAAGGGCCGGGAAAAAGATACTCCCTCCGTCCCAATTTGTAAGATACATTTCGGTTTACGATGTTTGACTGACGATAAAACAAATTGATCCCTGTCAACACCCAAATTAGTTCTAGAAAATAAAATTTACATATTCAAAAACTACATTAAATCCGCTACAAAACCTGCAAAAAATAATTCAAACTTCATAAACTTTTGATATATAAAATAAAAGTTTAGAAGTGATTTATGCTGACCAAGTGAATAGTAAATGTATCTTACAATTTGGGACTGAGGGAGTAAGTTTTAAGACTTGATCTCAACAAAGATAGCTGTCATGTACAAGAAACCAGGGTCGCCCCTTTGAGTTGTGAAAATCGTGTATTTAAAATAGTTTTTACTGTAGTAAAAATATTCTCAATGTATAACAACAATAATGTATAATATGGTTGGTTTCAAGAACACTGAAAATAGAATAAGGAAACAAAGAAGTCCCTCCAAATCCCCCAAATTGGGCACGGCGGGGTTATGAGGAGTTTCAAGGATTTTATATATTCCTCCACAACTTTCCTCTCACCTTCCCCCAACTAAACACACGCAAGCCCTTCACTTCACCTTCATCTCCTTCCCTACTACCAAAACGCTCAACCAATCAAGGATTAAAACAGAAGTTGTTCACGACTTTTGACACACAAACAAGGGCTAACTGTTTTGCCCGCTATTGGGCATTGACTCCCGCACAACGTGCAGGCCAATGCTAGTATATTAATATGTGCAAACATCTTTTCTTTATGTTATTGTAAATATTAACCAAAAGGTTAAGTTTATTTCCAGTTAAAGTATTCCAAAGTAATGGAAACTTCGCTTCAAGATGGAAGGAGTAAAAATTAATTACAAAGTAGCTAGTTCAATGTTTTCCGATTTTTATCTTTTATTTTTTTTTTAATCCAGACCATAGTTGTTGAATGTTGATTGAGCTTAAGTTATTTAGAAAAAATAGCTGAATTATTTTGGCCTTGATTTTTTAATGATAATTCGCTTTTCATCCTCAATCACAACAATAATTCTTTTTAGTAATTCTTGACTCTTGAGAGAAGACCGACTAAACATTAATTTAAAAAACTAATAGTATTCGACAAGATTCTAAGCAGATTTAGGGGTGTTTGGATCTAATTTTAAAACTGCTTCTGCTCCTTCAGATAGCAGAAGCGGAAGTTAGAGTATTTGGGAGAAAATGCAGAAGTGATTCTGGTGCTCCAATTTATTCCTAGAATAATTGAATCAGTTTTTTTAGAAGCTGGGAGAGACCAGCTTCTGAAAACTGATTCTGATTCTGCTTCTGTTTTAAAAAAACATGAGAAGCGAAATCGGTTCCAAACACCTCCAGATATGGGAGTAACTAAGTGAGGCCTAGCCGCTCCCGGACAACAGACGGACTGATGTGAGTTTTCTCGCACTTGAACTATATTGTAGTAAAGGGTAGAAGTACGAGTATTGTCTCCACAGGGACGGACAAAAGGGAATTAAGAATTAACCAAATTCAGCGATAAAAAGAAAATAAAATAAAAAGCAATTTTGCGAGATTTGAATGATTGGAAAATTAAAATTCGATTAAACGAATAAATAGATTGGTTTCTTCTTAATTAACGACGAATTGAAGGGAACAAGGATTGATTCTGGGGTAACCAGATTTCTGGCAGATCAGGCTTAATTACATTAATTTAATTGAGGCTAGATAATCATTACTAAATTCTTACCGCTCTCGCGGCGAAAAGTACAACAATTTAGGGGACCAGACTGATCTCTCATACGACAGAATCCTAAATTATTGCCAAGACGAGCGAGCTTACGACCTCTTAATCGCTACTAATCTCTTAGCGAGCGATTAAGTGTGTGTGTGAAGGTGTCCTAGAATAAAGTCCTAGAATAAACTAGATCTCTCTTAATTTATTCTACAAGCAATTGTAATTCTAGCTGCAGTCTAGGTTACAAGAGATATCAATTGAATTATTTTAACACAAATTAAACGACATTCATGTCATTAATCCATCAAGAATCTAGTCATACATCATGATTAACCTCTTCATCAATCCCAAATCCCCAATTAAACTACTCACAACTCATGATTGATAAATCATAAGAAATGGGATGAATAGAAATAATTGTCATTAATTAAAAAGTAAGAACTTACAAATAATCCCAGGGTCTTGAACAAAATAGGGGAAAAACAACGTAAAACTCGTCCCTATGCCTCTCTCTAAATTCTCTCCTAAACCAGGGGTTTACGGGCTGTTTAAATAGAAAACAGATCAATTCGGGCCGAACTAGGACTGCAGGGTCGCCCGCTCGGCGTGCGGGTCTATCGTAGGATTTCCGTAAATATTCTCCTGCTCGGAGTGCGGGTTAAGTCCGCTCGGCGAGCGGGACTTCTAGGGTTCAACGTCCAAATTTTCTGAACTTCTGCCACCCTCGCTCGGTGTGCGGGTTCTGTCTGCTTGGCGTGCGAATCTTCCAACTTGACTTTTTGGCTGTTTGTCGCCCTTTTTCGCCTCTGATTGCTCTCCCGTGCTCGATTCTTTGGCTCTTTTGATTTCAAATCATCATCGTGAACCTACCGGTGACCTCCAAAACTCTCGAATCACTCTCGAATGCTTCTCAACTCGTCCCGGTTGCTTCTCAAGCGCCGGTGCCGGACTCTAATTTCCTGATTTTGACTCCAAACGATACAAAACTCGAACTAACGCCCGGTAAACATAACTTGAGCTAAAATTGAGACTTGTGATACCTTAAAGCTAGGAAGACCATCAAAAAAATTCGAACACGCATCAAATACGTATTGAAATACGAACTTATCACGGACTCAATCACTTAAAAAATGCTTATATTGTATACGGAGTACTAGTGTCTAGTTGGGTGGTATATTGGTTTGGTTTAACCGAATCACATCGTACCAAATCGAACTAAATCGAACTGAAACAATTTGATTTGAGTTAGGTACTATTTCTTCTCAATCGTATTAAAATGAATCGAACTAAAACTTTTGATTTTATACAAAGTAAGCTTTATCTTTCTCAGCATTGTGCCCGATTTGGCCAAAGTGCTAAAGCTTTAGTCTAAAATCATTTGTTTAACGAAGAAAATGTAAAATCAGGTTCTGACAAATGTAAGGAGGCAGGCCCGCGAAAACGATGCTTTTGGGTGGAAACGAAATGCATGTTGTTTAGGTGTGGCCCGCGTGGGAGGAGTATGTATCCTGTTTGGCCATGTCCTCTTCCACCTCCCAATTGTAATCTACAAAAGTAATAAAATCGTGTTTTGTTTACACGGCATGTTATCGTTAATTATTCATTTATTTGTGCATAGACAAACAAAAACAATTAGTGAGAAAATGAAGATGTTCGCAAAACAAAAAACAATAGTCTATACACACATAATTATTCAAGCGGCTTGCAAAATGGAAATACACAAAACGTGTGCAAACACCGTTTATATTAGGAGCCCGTTTCATGACTATGTTTTTTGGCTTACCGGCCAACTTTTTAATCAAACACGTACTACTTCTGTCCCGAAAAGGTTTGGCATATTGACTTTTCTTGGTCAATAATGACAAACTTTGGATAATGATTTTAATTACTATATTTGTATATAATTTA